CCTTCTGTTTATTAATCAGTCTCTTATTCTCTGAAGAGTTAGTTCTTTCAATCACTAGCCAACCTTTAATTTCTCCAATGACTAATTCTGTTGGTAATTAAGCAGCCTTTATTCATCTCGGCCATAAATTAGCGCTTGCACGACCGGGATTCATCTGGCCTCTTTTTTGAACTCAGGAGAAGTAATCGTGGACAAATTCACTAATCAGCGTTTGTCCTCAATTACCCCAAAGGAATAAATCCTGTATTCAGGTTTTTGTTTCTTGAATATAAAGCACAGCAGACCCGGAGTTTTGAAAAAAAAAAAAAAATTCGAGTCGCCTCGAAATCCTTAAAGAGGAGAAATTCCGCTCCTCATCTCCCGCCTTTTCATCATTTCGAATTTTTCTTTTGGAAGAGAATCTTCCTTCTTCGTCTTTTCCCTCCTTTTTACCAGTTCGAAATTTTCTTGCGAAAGAGGAATTTCGTTCCTCTATTTTCCTCGTTGCAATTTCAAAAATTTCTTTTACAGAAGTTCCTCATCCACATCTTTTCTTAACTCTTCCCTCCCCGACCGAAGAGTACTTGAGAAGTGTATGCAAAAGGGTGTTAGTGTGTTCCATGGTTTGCTCATCGTCGTTCGCATTTTGGCTAGACAAATTCCTTCCACTGTTTGTTCGATGTTGGCGCGGTGAGAGCGGTGGCAGTCACCTGGAAAAAGGGGGTCATGCAAATGTCAGATTGGATCTTTTTTTGGGCAAGCGATCATCCCAGCACATCCGAAATGCGCTTCATACCAACACTTCAAGCGTTCCTGGTACATTGGTGTACAATGTTTTGCGATCAAAACATTGGTTCGAAGTTGCTTCCGCATCTCATCCCTCAATATTTGAGCGAACGAAGAAATTTACATACACAAATACCATTTAGCTACCAATCTTTGTTTCTTTTTTCCCTCTTTTTCCCTCTCTCCAAAATCTGGGATGTGCTCCAACTTCAACTGTAGGCATGTTTACCTGTTTCTATCGAAATCTTTTATTCCTCTTCCCTCCGGCTTATGCTAATCGTGGGCAACGGGTACAGCAAACTGCCTACTAATTTATCTCTTTCTCTCTAAGTGTCCCTCAAAATTCGACAAGGAACGGCTAGGAAATTAAGGAGTGCGCGCGCGCGCTCAAAGAATCCAAAGCAGCTTGGGAGTTTT